TGCATAGGCTCCCCGCATATTAGGAGAATGAGTAATTGAGTATATTGGGAAGAACCCAGGAGATGCTAGCAAAAGAAAAGAGAAATGGAAGGGGACCTGTCCCCATTCTCCACATCCCACTTTTTCATTCAGACAGATTGGACATGTTTCAAGAAAAAAAAAAGAATAGTCTCCAACAATAGAAAATACAGTCACCAAAGTGATGTAAGATATTTCAAATTACTGTACACAATTTCACTGATGTTCTCCCACTAAAGTGGGATATGTTGTTTGGAAAGGCACGTCCTGTAGTTGTTTATTTAGTTGAATTGAATTGAATTTATTGCACTTATATGCCGCCCTTTTCCCCGAAGGGGACTCAGGGCGGCTCACAATCCAAGTCAGGGAAGGGGATACAGATAAGTTCCAGACAAATTTTGGAAATGGAGACACTTACGACATGCGTTGTTGGTATGTCCTCTCCAGTCAATGCAAACCCCCTGATCTGTGCAGGTTGCTGCATAAATTTGAAGACTTGCACATTCTATGAATTGGTTGGGCGCTCTGCAGCTATCAAATACGCAGGCATCATAGTAGCTTTTAACGTCAACAATGGGATGGCATTTCTCAAATAAACTGGATAAATATATAAATATATAATAAATATGAAGTCATGGATGCTAAAGAAACATTTCTTCAAGGTAAATGTTCATCTTCCAGATACCTTACATAAATATAGTGAACATTCTACTAAGCTAGCAGGGAAAATAATGTAAGCTTTTATGGCCAGATATAAACCCTATTCAGTTTGAGTTATAAAATTTTGGACAACTTGGAATGTAGCAAAGAGTTACAATTTTCTGTATCACCTTGCTGATCCAACACTTCCCAAATGAACCTCTACTGATAACTATAACTGATCAGCTGACCATTATATGTCTGACAAAAAGCTCTAAATGTTCCACACCATGACACTATGGTTGGGTGGTATCAATTTAAGAGAGAAAATATTGTTTTTATTTCAGGACAGATAATGACAAGATCATTTCATGAATGAGTTGAGGGTGTGATGAAAGCAATGCTACTAGATCTAACTGTAAATTTATTAAAGAGAGAGATGGGGGGTGGGGAGATAGGCAGACAAGTCAATGGTCCCAGAATGACAAATATAGGCACACTATGAGTTTCTAAAATAAAATTGCTCATCAGAGTAGGCTATTGGAGAAAAATCAAATCATAAGTGTATGGTATGGTTTAAAATCAGGAAAAAAAATCAAATGTGAAAGCAATGTTCAGACTATTTACCTTCCTTTTAGAAGCTCACATAACTCAGATGGTTTGCAGTCAGGATTAATTATAGGTGGGGATGGGGACATATGCTGACAATGTGGCTTTTCTGGATCAGAAATAATCCAATCATCTGCCATTATTTCACAAGAAGGTATAACAGTCCCATTCCTTAACATACAGTCATCTTCGATAACGTTGTTGCATTTTCCTAAATTGGAGTGACAAAGGAACCACACAAAAATTCATACTTACACTTCCATCATACTATTAGATGAAGAATAATTTGCTATCTAAATTTGTAATAACAGTAATATGCAAAAGTCAGCAATAACCTTTACACTGAAGGGGGTAACCATACAAAATCACACAGCTGAATACCAAAAGCTTTTGTACTTTCCCTATGCATGCTTGCATTTTTATATATGTCAACAATCCTCAGTGTTGCAAAAAAATAATGACATGCAAATTATTATTACATAATTTATAAATGTTAGAATTGGCCATTTGGATGTTAAGTTATGTCAGAATGTCTAGCTCATATGTTCCAGATAGTTTTGCAATCATCTACTTTACAATGTTCATTTTACAAACATAAGGATAGTCATTCTTACCACATTGTCCCTGGGTATTGTTGGCAAAAATCTGAAAGGGCATCCGGATTGTGAAAGCCATGCCACTGTATGTTACATTAATCTTCAATCTAGTTAGTTGTACCACATAGTTTAGACCAGCCTTGTGAATCTTCAGGCTATATTTTTCATAAGGTAAACCTACTGCCACATTATTCACAGTCACCTAATATTCAAGAAGCCAGAAAAAAATATAATTAATTAGGAACTGTGGTTAGAATGAAATAACACCCCCCCCCCAAAATACATATGTTTTAATTATGCTATACCTAAGAAAATTTTATATATATGCTGGCTCTGGAAGCACTCAAAACATGGTTTTGTCAACTAGCCTGGGGATCCCATAATATAACTGAGCCTACTAAATACATGATAATTGACTGAATGTGCAAAATAAAAATATACCAGGGGTGACATCCAGCAGTTTCTGACAGGATCTGGACCACCAGTAGCAGAAATTTTGAGTAGTTTGGAGAACCGGCATATACCACTTCCGGCTGGCCCCAGATTGGGGTGGGAATGGAGATTTTGCAATATCCTTTCCCTGCCACGCCCATCAAGCACAGAACTGGTAGTATTTTTTTTTTAATTTCACCATTAAAATATACATGCTACATTTGTTGTCTAAAGCTACCATCCCAGCCTGAGGTAGACTAGTGGTTCAGTTTCAATTATTATTTCAACAAATTCATGTCACAATTTGAGTAAAGATCTTAGGAGATACAGGGAGATCTGCTCGATGCAAGTTATGAATCCAACTGTATGCCAGAAATTTCCGAGCTTGAATCCATGAAATGGGAGAAGCCTGATTTATAAATTCACTCTTTCTGGGGCAGATGGACTGGCTATCAGGTCAAATTAGGATTTTTGTCAGCAGAGATTGGGAGGGAGCTCAATGTGCTTTTTAAAACTGAATGATAGAATTAGGGTGGGGGGAAGTGTATTTGCTTTGCCTGAAACAGGTATAAAATTCTCAACACTGAGTGAACGATTGGAGTGAGTTTGCACTAAAGGTGTATTAAGATATGGACTGTGAATGGCTTGTAACTGTGATTACTAAGGCCATGCTTTCTTTTGAGAAACTAAAGCTGGGGCAGAGGAAGGGGGTTTAAAAAAAGAAAAATACTGCTTTGAAATGGGAGGCCTTGGTTTAGCTAAAGACATCTTTATTCCATTGAAAAATAAGGGATTGTAGTTTTGGTTATTAGTAGGCCACAATTTAAAACTGATTTTATTCTTTCTGAAAATAATGAAATCTTGGTAACAGCAACATCATAACAACATAATAATATAGTAATAGTGGTAGTTTTATTTTTAATGTGGCTATAACTAAGAACAGTATAAAACAATAAAATACTGCATCAGAATTAAAATAGGCCACACAATCTAATTTAAGATCATATGTTAAACGCATAACCTCAGTAACTTGAATGGCCCACATGCTTTGATGCAATCATTGAAATCTATATCTAAATATCTGCAGGAGGAACAAATGCTTAAACCAGCTTCACAAAGGCCCATTGAAAGATAAATTTTCAGCAACATTTCCAATTTTGATAGATCAGACTTCAAGCAAATTCCTGCTTGAAACTGATTTTGGAGGATTGGCACTAGATGTAATAGTTTTTTCCTATCTGTGATTGAGTATTTTGCTACAAAGAGATGCTAGCTGGCCATAACTCAATAAAATGATTATGTCAAATATAAATGTACTGCAAGCAGATTTTCCTTACATCCAGATCAGGGGTGAGTTGCTGCCAGTTTTACGCACTACACGCGTGTGCACTATTCAATGAAAATCGTTCTTTGTGCATG